ATTGTAACAGGGTTGAGATTCACCATACATATGCCATTACTTGTCTGTCTAATCACACCATAGCATGGCACTTTCTTAATATTGTGTAAATATATTGATGAATGATTATAGTAAAGGTGCAGCTACATTTTCTGTAAATTCTAATTTAGTTTGCACCAAGTTCACATTTACATTAAGTAAATAATATCTTCCTAAAAGTGCAGTTGTGGCTTTGTAACTGTCTGTATTTGACTCCAAGAATTGTAAAGAAAGTGTTTTTGGTGAAGTGGGAGGTGTAGATTGTTATACCAAGCAGTGACAGTGCCATAATGCTGGTAGCAGATAAGCCCAGCTGCTGCTGAGGAGGCGAGGAGAGAGGGGTTGATTTTCAGTTGTTCTGAATGCTACTTTGAATTAAGGGACGCAACACACTCATTGAAGATGGATACCCTTTGCCATGTACCTGGTCTGCATATGAATAATTGTTTTTCCATCTTGTTTAATAAAATGCTTTTGAACTGAGATTTGGGTCCTCTGGAAATTATTGTCGAGGCTTTCAGAGCGCAAAAACAAATGCTAATCGCGTCAGAAACAATCAAAGTGACATACATGACTTTGCTGTCTAGCATCAATTCATGAACAATTTGGTCAAAATAGATGCCACTTAAATGTCTAAGTGTTTCAGAACAAAATAATGTGGGAGCGTTGGCTCAATAACAAAGCATCATACTATACAAAGTCAAATATCTGTCAAATATGTCACAATGTCTTTTGAATGTGTAATGCAGTAAAGAGTACAAGGGACATGTGGTAGCTTGATAAGATGCTTCTCTTTTTACAACTCTTTTAGTCTTTGTATTACTATCATTTATCTTGTATGTCGGTGATATGATTATTTACCATTTCAGGAGCTGAACATGACATTATACAAGATGCAATGACATTACAACATTGTATCATCTGCATAAACATACGATGAGCAAGCCCCCCCCCCCCCCCCCTATGACATCACTATGTAACACTTACGCTTCTATTGGCTAGCCCTCCAACACATTGTGCATGATAGGCTAAGGAGCGGGACATCTCTAAGTGGTTGACCAATCACAACAGAGCTGACCAGTTAACCAATCAGAGCAGCTGGGCTCTGGTTTCAGACAGAGGGTGAAAAGAGGTGCTGCAGCACAGGCAGTATGAGAAAAGTAAAGAGCTTTTTGAACATTAAAGCATGGAGACATGTAGAGACACTACATACAGGTATGAGCGTAAAGGGGCCCCTTTAACTGTTACGAAACACTAGGAAACTTTTTTTTTCCATTTATGGGATCGATGTATTAGTCATTTTCAGAAGAATGTATTAATGAAGAAACACAAGTCCAATCCTTTTTTATTACTGTTATTTATTGTCTACTCAATTCACAATGAGGTTTTGGTGGACACTGTAAGAAAAAGCACAACGATCCTTATCTAAGTGTTTGAGTCTTTACGGCTAAAATAGGACGTACATGTTCAAGAAAACGTGCCGGCCTTGTTCACTCGCTGCTGATCATCTTCACATTTTGACCCCCGTGTAGATTTGAGTATCTGGCGCCGTTTTACGACGGGAAGGCGTACGGAGGTTATCAGTTGTGTGGGGTGTTATCAGCCTCGTGGGATGTTACTCATTAACCCACCCCACAGGACCGAAACTCACCAGGGACAGATCAGTGAAAACAATAATCTTCTTTGGTGTGAAAGAGGTGGGTAAACAAAACGAGGAAAGGGTGGGTAAATGTCCCCAAATATGAATCTAATATCCAAATAGATCAGGAGAGAACCAAAGCTGTAATCATCCCAGGTCTCATCCCTTGTGCTGTTTTAACACAGTTTAACGTCAATGATTCATTTAAAGCCAGTGTAATTCACATCAGCTTCAGTGAGTTTGAGTTATGAGGGCCAATGTTCATCACAAGGCTGAGAGGTATAATGTGTAATCACCATAAAGAAGGGGAATACGTCTGGAACACGGTGTCTTCTTTCAACTGCACCCTGTACTGTTTGGATGTCATCACACAGAACACACAGTACTGTATAATCCAGGAACACAGCGCTTTATTGTCTGTCGCTTTATATTACTGCAGGCAGTGACGGACATACAGGCCGACAGTCATTTTCATCATTTTATGTGAAGTTAAAGTTTAATGTGTTCAAGGCTTTTTATTATTTCCTTCTTTCTTTTTATTGAGCTGATCGTATACTTGGATAGTTTGAAGAGCAGTCCATTGACGACAGAACTAACCATGTATAGGGATAGTATAAAACTTGAAACAAATATTATGTGCTCTTGATGTTTGATAGACAATAGGAATGTTACCACATTTTAGTATAAACAAGATGGTGGTTTAATCAGATTTATTACATGGTTTAGTTGAGCACGTGACACGTTGTTAATCCAGAACAGACCGCTGTCAATGATTTATTGACCGTTGTTAAGGACGCTTACATCTGCAGAAAGAAGTTCGGTCGATTTAACTGTATACAGTTTGGCCGAAAAGCAACAACAACAACAAAAAATCTTCGCGTCGAGCTCCTGACCGGACTGTCGGATGTTCTTTCCCCCATAATGACTGCGTCGCTGCACATTATCCCTTACTTGATTGACAGTTACTTGCTGTTATAAATTGCCCAGCAACCGTCATCATTCAAATCTTGCTGCATTATGATTGGTGAAAGGAGTATAATGCATTACATTGTTTTTAAATAGACTCCACCCACTTCTGACCAGAAATCTCTCGTTTGACACAACCAGAAATGTAAAATGGCTTAAGAAATGTGTTCATGTTGGACACCATGCTAATAGTAATACGTCTATTTATGAACATGTGTTTTTAAAGCACATTTTAACTTGTATTACTTTTTATTTCCAACAAAATGACCTTTATGTAACAATACCCTAATATGCATGTGGATTTATTTATCAATAATATACTAATGTTCTTAAATGCTTTCCCACTAAAAACTGCTGACACACTGTCCATAGTGCACATTTCAGGATTTAAAGCCTTTTACTAGAGTTATAGGGTTATATATTAATTAGCAAATGCTTCTATCTCTTGACTTTTATTGAAAATGTTCTTATATTGTTGTTCATATTCCTTTTTTTTTTATTAAACCAGCCCCCACGGACATTTTGTAATTACTTCTATATTTCTCTGCCTTCTTCCTCGATGCTGTGTGACAAGTTAATCCTGGATAGCACAAACAAAAAGGAGAGGCTTCTGTCTAGGTATCCTTTAAAAAACGAAATCATTTGTTATTACAGACAAAGCCGTAAAGCGAGCTTTGCAAACAGCTCGGCAGTTAAATGAAATGTTTATGGTGGGCGAGGATCCAGTTGTTTCTTTGGAGGAGCTCAGGTGGAGGTGAGGTAGATGAGGAAGACCAATGAGTTTAGATTTAGACTTACCTTCGTTCAGATGAAAACTCTGAAGTGAGATATCCATCCTGTAGGAATTAAAATATATAAATAGGTTTGAATAGACCTTCACAGTGTCCATGATGTCAGTCAATTAATTCCTGCACAGATTAATTTATAAAATGGAAATTAAAAATCTAAACGAAAATTGGTTTGTCAATATAAAAAAGAGCCAAAAATAGGATTTCTATTCAGTCAGCTCTATGAAAAATCTCTTGCTAATAACAAAATAAGACATTTAGCAGCTTCCTTTTCACTAGCCTGGTTTCAGCATGTAAAAATATAGACTTTGATTTAACATTAACTTCACAAACGTTCCTTTTCCACGGCTTCAACTCCCACTTCCTTCCAGAAACCTGCTGGTGGTCTATTTCTCATCAACTGAATTACTTAGCGTTATTTCTTGACCTTTATACACAATCGTTTTCCTGTTCACAAATCTCACCATCTCTAGACACATCAGGGCTGAAATGCAGGCTACGATATATCTTAATATTATCACTCTGGATTTGGCAGCGCTGACCCAGCAGTTATCAGGAGGACAATTAATGAAGACACACAAATCACAGAAACTGGGTAACTTTGAGATGTAATCCGAGCTTCGGGCCTCAAACTTAACCGCTTTCATGTTGATACGTTTCCAAAATCTTGGGCGTGGCGCTAAGTCATGGTGACCTTGTGTCTTATGGCCTTGAGATTTAAAACCAAAACAATAAAACTGAAGTTGCAATCGCCTGGGTGGAATGTTATAGTACACCTACTTAATTACGGTACACACATTTAAAGTACTTTTAAGGTATTTCCATGTTATGCTACTTTATACGAAGTCTACTCTACTACATATCAGATGTATTTGTTTGTTCTCGCAGATTCAGATGATTGAAAACATACATATATCAGTTTATAAATTATTATCTTTTATTATAGGTTATACTAACCATCATTAGGCTGTACTGTAGAGTAATTAAAGTGAGCTCTACCTTCACCAGATGCAACATTAAAATACCATTAAAACAAATTGTAATCTTATACTTACTCTACTTTTGGTTATTTTACTACATTTTGAAGCTTATATTTTTGTAATTTAAGCAAGATTTTCCATACATGAGTTCTACTTTAAGTATACTTTTACACTGTAGTAGTGCTACTTCCACAAGTGCAATTGTCTTTGTTTAAAAAGTCCTGTTATTAATGTTGTTTTAAACATGCTAATGATGTGAGGTTGACCATCAACGAAAAATAAACGTGGAAAATGGCTAATAAACATGAACCGTGCCGCGCCATCAAGTGCGACTGATGACCATTGGACCCTGAGAGTGAGGCGATAAACACCTGCTCAGTTTCAGGGGTGTAAAATACATGAGAGAGAGAGAGAGCGTGTGAAGGGAGGGGGGAGGAGAGAAAACGAGTCAGATAAATCATTATACATATCTGTGGAGCTGGACACATCTCCCAGTGGCACCATTGACACACTCTCACACACACTCATTGACTTTCAATCACACCAAAATCGTTTTGTATCACCACATTGGATATACTTTTTGTGTGACTTCTGGACCAAAGAGGGGTCATGGATCCAATTGTGGAAGTAGTGGCGTTGATTTTGGGGTTCATTGGTTGGGTGATGGTTGGGATCACGCTGCCCAACCGGTACTGGAGGACCTCCACCGTGGACGGGAACGTCATCACCACCTCCACCATCTACGAGAACCTGTGGATGTCATGTGCCAGCGATTCAACCGGGGTCCACAACTGCAGGGAGTTCCCCTCGCTGCTCGCTTTGAATGGTATGTTGACCCAACACAAAACTTTTTAAAAAAAACACTATTTAGGATCTTAACGCACAAAACATCCATTATAGATAATTGAAAGTAAAGAAACAAGAAGTTAACAGTGGTTTTATGACATGATGATTTGTCAGGGGGGAAAAAACTGTTAAAGTTCAATTTCAAGGTTTTACGAGTTCTTGAACACCTTGGACTTTTGCTCTGTTGAAGATATAACGTTCCTTTTTTCTGGCCATAACTTAATGATCCCTTTCAAGGCAGATGACAATTAAAATGGTGTGAATTTAATGGGTTTTTTTGTTGTCTTATTTCTGCTCTTCAGGTTACATCCAAGCGTCCCGTGCGTTGATGATCACATCCATAGTGTGTGGCACCTTTGGACTGTTGCTAGCCCTGATAGGAGTGCAGTGCTCCAAGGCTGGGGGGGAAAACTATGTTCTCAAAGGGAGGCTTGCTGGCACCGCTGGAGTCCTTTTCATATTTCAAGGTAACAAAGATAAGCAAAATGCATAAACATTTTTTATTTTAGGGCAGGTGAAATTAAGTTAATGTTATTTGACTTCCTAATACCTTGTAGAAATTGGAATTTCTCCATAATGCTAATAAATCATGTTTTATTGCTTTTCAAAATCAATAGTCCTAGATTGTTCCTCCTTTCTTGACTGACTTTGAACTTCTGTATCTGGAAGCTTCCCAGGTTCCTTCTCAATGATTAAAGAATATTTACTTTTTTTTTTCAAAAGGTCTGTGCACGTTGATCGCAGTGTCCTGGTATGCCTTCAACATCACACAGGAGTTCTTTAACCCTCTGCACGCCGGGACAAAGTAAGGTGGAGGTGGGGGTGATGTTGGTTGATGATGAAAGGTCTCATATGAAGCTGACTGACACTCTGTTGTGTGTCGCAGGTATGAAATAGGAGAAGGACTCTACATGGGATGGTGCTCCGCCGTGCTCGCCATCGCCGGAGGAGCCTGTCTCACTTGCTCCTGCCAAATGGGCACAGAGGAAAAATAGTGAGTTCATTTACTTCATATTATTATAATTGCCATACTTTTCTTATTATTATTTATTGGTGGATTTACTGTAAATTAATTACTTGTAACAATGTACGCAAAATCATATTTGGAAATATATAATATAAGAAAAAAAACATTCTTACCTAAAATGACTAGATTTGATCAAATACAATACAACAATAAAATAAAAATAAACTTAAATATAGTTATAAATAAATGTACAATTACAGTTTAGACAAAAAATTATAATTGCAGTCCTTTTTTATTTATTAGTATCTTGGCACAAAAGTTATTTTGACATTTTACAGATGTTTTATATTGTATGTAAAAATAATGATGTGTGATGCATGTTTTGAGGACCTAAAGAACCTCTTAAATATATATTTGTTAAATTCATGGCCCTCTGGCGACTTGCTGTGGCAACACTTTATGAATTCACCTTAGGAACAACATCTCCTATGGAAGTCATGAAGGAGCTCTTATTGGACATTATCACCTGGTGTGTTGTTAGAGCCCGCCCATCTTTGTTTCTCACAAATGGACAGTGTTATATGGGCTCTATTTTAATGACCATATATTTTTGTTGTGCAAGATGAATGAGGCTATACAAATATGCAATAACAAAATAGTTGGGTAAAGCGGAAGTGGACTAGGCACAATACACAAATTGGAAGGGGGGACAAATGGGCTGGAAACGACACAAGGACGGCACGAATTTCAACATAGTCTTCTATTAATTTTATATTGGAATATATCGTTTTCCCTGATGACATTTTGACATGTCACACAAAGTACACATGTTAATGGTCAAATTAATGATGGCTGAATACCATTTAGCTGCTTCGGTTTCACAGACGTTTTTTCATCGTCATGTTTGTTCTTGTTTCGCAGCCCGTTGCCCTATCAAAGCAAGGGAACGGTATACTCTGGACCAGCACCAACCAGGAGTGTGGCTGCTAGTACTTACGGACGAAATGCTTACGTTTGAGCAGGATATGGACACTGAACTGTATATAATCACAATTTAAAGAGTGTATTCTGTAAAAATGACTGCGTTGAAATGATTGCATTTGAGTTGTAAAAAGGCTAAACTTCCTATCACTGAACAATTGTTTCTATTTATGTTTTCCTGATGATGTAAACTCATATACTTTTACATATAGTCACTTGTTTTCAGAGCAATTTAATCAATTGACAATCTGCAAACACATTTCTAGAAATGTGTTAAGGGGAAGGTCAAAACTGTTATAATACAGATATGTGTGTTGTTTTGTACAGTTTTATAGATAGTAGGCCTACCTGTGAAAGAGGGTCGTGGAAAAGTGATCTTTATTTTGTTTTTTTTACGATAGTGCACAATAATAATGTTCTATTCCAAACATTTCTGTTTCACTTTGTGTTCCTGTAGTCAATAAAGTTTTGATTGCATCTGTTTTCCTTTCCTTTTTTCAAAAAGAATAGCAAAGTTATTTTGATGTGACACAATTAAATAAAGATATTTAAAAAGATGGTTATCAGATCAGATTTTTGGAAATGTAAGTTTACATTATACTATTTAGGTTATTTACAGCTGTCTAAAATGTTATATTTCCATTAAATTACAAGTAATTACAAACGTAGGACAAAATATGATGCTGTGTTGTGTTTCATAATTAAAATATGTTGTGTCACAAATATATGAGACATGTTACGACATTCTAAAATAATATGTAATGAGATTTGTAGTGACCGAGGATATTTATTGAAGTACTGTAACATATTTGAATACAACTTTCAGGTACTTATCTAAAGTATTCCAATGTACTTTTGCTACCTTAAACGTCTTCTTCATTGAAGAAAATGGTAAATATTGAACTTTTTACATGTAGTAACAGAATTAAAGAGAGAAACACAGGTAGTACACATGAGAATATACAAAGGGATAATAAGAATACAAATACACATTAAGTAACAGTATTGATAGAAATAACAAAAATAACATGAGATCCACTTTCTAGTAGCCGAAGTTAACTTTCGATTTCCTCACTTATTGATCCTAAACAGACACTTGGTTACAGCCATGGTTACAGCACAAGCCGCCTTTATGACCCATGCAGGAGCAACGTTGAAATAGTCTGTCCAATCAGAGCGGCCCACGTTTCCACACGAACCCGGATCTCGGTGCGTGGACCAATCAGAGAAATGTAGGGCAGAAAGGGAGGGGACGACGAATTCAGAGGCAGAAAGCTATCGTGTATAAACTGTACAGGCCGCTGTCAGCTGTTCTGCATCCTCATGTTACCTGGAGGTGTTTTAAGTCCCACTAAAGTCAGTTTACTCCTTGACATTATGGGGAATCTTAATTTTTAAGGGGGAACCTTTCAGCTGCGTGCTTCCTTCCTACCCGGACTACTGTCACACCGGGACCGTAAATACACCGTCGTAGCTGGTTCCAGAGGGGGACATGATGGAGATTTAACACATAATCTAACAGGTTTCAATGAAGCAAAGGGGTGTTTTCACTCGACGTGAAAGCAGAGGTGCGAGTTCCGCAGGTTCCGGTGTGAGGCTGTGATTGTATCCGGGGATGGAGTCGTGTCGGCGGACCCTGTGCTCCCTCTCTCTGCTGTGTGTCCTCCTGGACATCCAGCTGGACGGTAAAACTCACTTTATACTACCTAACATGTCTTTAAAATTATTCGGAAACACGAGTGTATAAACACGTTTCTGTACGTTTCAAGCTTCTATGTAGCCGCTAAAGTGTCCAAAACTGTCACTGTTCGCTAGCCTACTGTAGGTTACAGTATGCAATATACTGTATGCACACATAACAGTCACTTCTGAATTATGAGCATTATTTAGGTTATAAAAGCCAAAAGTTACACGTTTACAAGGTGTTAAAGAGTATGTTAGGCGTTACCAGGAACTACAGGCTCTGTTTGGGTTCCTATTTTCCTATAACACACCTTCATAACTCCCTCTTATAATTATTTAAACATTTTTTACAAGATTGCTTTCATAGGAATTGTGAACTGAGTTCCTTTTACCTTTTTTAAAGTCCCTTCATTAAACCTAATAAAATATAAAGGCATTCTCTAAACAATTTAATTTAATTTAAATATCCCTTAAATGAATTTGTTGTCTTTTTTATTTATCATCTTAGTTTTGAAAAGGTGGTATGTAAATAAATACATACGTTATTATTATTTTAATATTATCTTCATTAAGAAAGTGTATGGATGTTTATAGTTGTATACCTGTTACTCACTTAGGTTGTCATTGGAACAGACATTATAAAATGTCAATATGAAACAAAAGCTGAACGAGTATGTATGGATTGTTCTTGTCAAATAAGATTTATTTTGGAAAACAAAAACAAGAAACTGACAGGAACGTCTGTTTGGGCTAGTATAGCAAGTTACAAATACATCATAATTCTAGTTACAAACTCACATTGAACCCAAAATCATATAAAAATCCAATATTGACATAAAGCAGTGTGCCTTTACCGAGAGAGAGAGGATTCCGGTTTGGCAGGTTGGACACTTGAAACAAAATAGGCTTTGAATACACATCTGATGAATGTAATCGTAGTGTAATCAGATGGGTTCTTTCAGAATACCTTTATTTGTCCCACAGTGGGGGAATTTACATGTGTTTAATATGTCTGACTGTTTGTGTATCTTAAAAAAAAGATGAATCGTGACCTGCTGTTATAATGTTGTCGCCGTGTCTTTTCAGTGATATATTTCAAGCTCCATCTTGTGTTACAGGTGTCTTAGGGGCGACCCATGTCGAGATCGAGCACCACTTGGAGATGGGCCGCAAACTTTTGGCTGCTGGTCAGCTGGCCGAAGCCTTATCCCACTACCACTCAGCTGTGGGTAAGGTTACACACACACACACACACACACACACACACACACACACACACACACACACACAGAGACATTTCCAGTCTCTGCTCCAAAAATGCCCGTCCTCTTCCCCTTTTCAGTAAACACAAGAGAGGCTTGTTTGTCGCTTTGAGAAATTAACAGTTCTTTAAATTGAACAGAGGGAGACTCTAAGAACTACCTGACCTACTACAAGAGAGCAGCTGTGTTCCTAGCGATGGGAAAATCCAAATCTGCTCTGCCGGACCTCACCAAGGCCATCCTGCTCAAACCTGACTTCCTGGCTGTAAGTTCTCCACCCCAAAACACTCACATACAAGATTCTGTATTGTATTTGATCATATTCATTTTGTTTTCTCCTCTCATCATCTTGTCTCTCGATCTCTTATTTTCTTGTGTTCCCAGGCCAGGTTACAGAGAGGGAATATCCTGTTGAAGCAGGGCAACACACAGGAGGCCAGGGAGGACTTTGAAGCAGTGGTGAGTTCAAGTCCTAAACTGCTTCTACACTTTTTACTGTTGAACCTGAAACCACATTTTACCAGACAGATTTTTGTGATTAGGAGAGGAATTTACCCTGTTTTTTTTTTTTTTTAGCTACAGCGCTCCCCAGACCACGAAGAAGCTCGGGACCAGCTGATGAAAGCGAACGAGCTGGAGGAGCTACAGGAGGAGGCCCACGCTACGTACCACCAAGGGGACTACAGTGCCAGCATCACCGTGCTGGAGAGGGTCATTGAGGTGCGTGTCAGCTCTGCCTCCTGATGTAGACACATGTAGAAAATAGGCATTTGCATGCATTTTTCTTCTGTTGTTATCTGACATTCCTGTGTATTATTGGGCTGTGTACCATTATTTACCAAATATCTGTCAAAAAGATGACTATGATGCTGGATAACAGCGTTAGGTCTCAGATTTAAAGAAGTCATTTGAATGTTTTTGGGAAATACGCTTGTGTGCTTTGTTGCTGAGTGTTACTTAAGAAGATAGACTGAATCATGATGTCTGTCAATATGAAGCTACATCCAGCGGCAAGACAGTTAGCTGAGACAAATGTAAAAAAAATGGATATTTGGCTATATAAATATACTTTGATTGATTGAATTAGCCTAGCTTAGTTTAGCTATCATTTACATAAAATACAACCCAACTCTAACTCATTTTATTTTCAGGAACAGTATGGATAAAAAACAATTCCCCCAACATATGATCTTGGACAAAGTGTGATCATTGGTTCCTTTCCTGTCGAGCTCAAGTAGCTCCCATGTGTGTATTCAATCTTCTAAATATGCCATCTTCCTTCAGATCTCTCCCTGGGACCCGGACTCTCGGGAGCTTCGTGCAGAGTGCTACATCCGGATGGGCGATCCTCAGAAAGCCATCCAGGACCTGACCCCGACCACGAAGCTACGCAACGACAACCGCGGCGCCTACCTGAAGCTCAGCATGCTGCACTACAGCCTGGGGGATCACCACGAGTCACTCAAGTGAGCTTAAACAAATTCACTCATGCAAAACTGAAGCTTATTTCCATCTCAGGAGCATCAGTTTCACTCGCTGAATGATCGTTTCGCTCGTCTGTTTCCGTGCAGTCTCATCCGGGAGTGTCTGAGGCTGGACCAGGATGACAAAGAGTGCTTCACCCACTACAAGCAGGTGAAGAAGCTCAGCAAGCAGCTGGACTCAGCAGAAGAGCTCATCGAACAGTTCAGGTCAGTACTTTACTGTCAGAGAGGTGCCGTTTCCCTCCGGAAACACGATCCTCTAAGATTCATTTACAAGATGTCTGCAAAATAAGTGTCGGCCTGAAACGGATAATGTCATCCACTTGAAATTCTAAGGATAAAAGTTATCCGATTCAGGTGCAGCCTCCAAAACATAGCACTTACACTAATTGTTTAATTTATTTTAGGGGAACGGTGTTCACATTTATCACTGTAAATGAGCCAGCGTTAGCCAAAAAGTACATTTTTGAACTTTCTCCCCTTTAAACGGCTGTTCAAATAATCCAATCCAATCCACTTTATTCCTATAGCACAAAACAACAGAGTTGGACAAAGTGCTGTACATCAACAACTATAGAAAAAACATAGCATAAATACATGAAAAACAGACAGGACATGAAGCAAATGTAAAACACGAGACAATGAAACCAGACCAGAAGCCACAGACTGAGAAACTCTCCTACATGACGTAAAAACAATACAAAACACTAGTAAGATAAAA